TTATGATAATATCAAAATATAAATCTGTTTAGTTGAGTTTTGCGGAATCGCAAATATAATCGCAAAATGCTATTCAATAAAACTAGTCCAGTTCGACGAAGGAGCACAAAATATTAATCTAAATGCAAATGAAATTTAATAAATCTTCAGAACATATTACGCATTCACAACTATAGCAGATATTATTTTTATTATATATAACAAAATTTATACATAATTTATTATAACAATTACATGTATTCTATATATAGAATGTATTTTGTAAATAAAAAACTGTAACATTGTAAATTCTGTTTTTTTAAACTCAACCGTTATATAATTTACTATAACTCCTTTTATAATTAAATTTTAATACTCTGTCATAGAACCATTGTCACGGAAGCAATGGAAACTTTAAACAATTATGTATTCTATATTTATATATTTTTACCAATATACTTCAGGTCAGCATGGAAAAGAAAGAAATAAAATGATGTGCCTTTCTAGATATTGAAGGTGATTGATAATTATTCGTATCAAGCAAGTAGTAGAGTGCTAATCAGAAGAGGTGTTAACAACACAGTAGCTCTATTGATGAGTTATAAGGTTCATATCAAATTCCAACTAGCTCTTGACAAGGAGAAGTCTTATCAACACGAGTATAAACTATTTATAGAATAAGAAAACAAATGTAATCATTCCAATACTAAGCAGATGACATAGTTATAATATGTAGAGGAAAAGATGAAAATACTCTACGTGACAGAATTAAACTTGGCATAAAACTAACAAAGTAAGATTGATTATCAATTAATAGCATCGATTGAGATTCTCTAGAACTTACACCTCTTCACGCGTATATTGTATCGCAAAGAAATAGGGAGCCATTCCATAGATGAGATAAATAAGATTGGCGTGAGCAGTTGTCTCAATTGCAAGAAATTTGATACTCTTGCAAAACAACTTTTTAAAGTATTCTTCCAAATTTCATAAAACTCAGTAATAAAAAAAGTTGGGATGGTATATCTACAAACTAAACCAGAACGGAAGCCTTGCGTAAAAACAGAGCTACAACCATCTTTCAAAAACAAATTTTACACGATAGATAAGTATGTATATTTTGACCTTGAACAGATCTATCAAAACTACAAATAAACTTTCTAACTGATATCCAGGTAACTGATATTCAGGGTTAGGCTGGAATTTCTGGCAACAAAAGGCGATCTATACAATATATATACATATATATATATACTAGTAGATGACCCGGCGAACTCTGTTCCGCCTTAAAGGCAATAAATAAGCAGTTTTTTTTTAATTGGAAAAAATACAAAAAAAAAAATACCTACATTAATCATTCATAATTTATTTGTGTATTTTAGTACATAGGTTGCTCTTCATTTAAGTACCTTGTGATACACGACATTTTTTGATTTATTATCAGGCGCAAAAACAAACAACGCAGATGGTCTTCCGACCCGTGAACATGCCACGTATAATTGACCATGGGAAAAACATGAATGTTCTAGATTTAAACCACAAACTTTTAAGGATTGGCCTTGTGATTTGTTGATGGTCATGGCAAATGCGAGACGTATCGGAAATTGAAGTCTTTTAAATTCAAACGGCATATCGGTTGGGATCATCGGTATCCTCGGAATGAGAACTTCCTCACCTTTGAATTTTCCTATTATTATCGTAGCGTAAATTACATTGTTCATCAATTTTCTAACCACCAAACGCGTACCGTTGCACAGTTTTGGTTGGTTTATGTTTCGAAGCATGATTACTACGGAGCCAACCTTTAGGCGTAAATTGTGCGGTGGTAAGCCAGGCACGTCCAAAGAGTTTAAAAATTCAATTGGATAGTTGGTGGCTTCATCTTCATTTGTGACGCAGTCAATAGATTTGAATGAATACATTGTTCCAATGATCTTATTTTGAATTATGTAGTTTAGGTCATCTACATCTTTATTCTTAGCCGCTAAAATTGCACGCTCACTCAACCATTCATTATTTTTGTAGTTAGAAATAATTTCTGGAAATACATTGTTGATAAGTTCGTCTTTTGATGAGACAAAATTACAGAAATTATTTGGAAATGATATTAATCCGCTCGATTCATCGACAGGTACTTGACCATTACCGATAGTCAGCAATTGCTCCGAGAAATCTTCAGCAGATGTATCATTAAGCAATGTAACTCTCATGTTTGTTGTCAGTTGCAGTTTCTTCACATAGCGCCATAGATTTGACGATTTGAGGCAAGCGTTTATTTCGTCGGCAGCCGTAGATCTTGGAATTACTGGCAGTATTTGGCGGAAATCGCCAGACAGAAAACACATTAACTAAGTTATATTTTTATCTGTTAAATTTTAATAAAATATTTTCTTATATCAAAAATTTGATAATTTCAAAACCTACTTTGTCGTTTCTCACCACTGACGTTTCATGTCAAGTCACACGGGAATGCTGTCGAACGGGATAAAAAGTATCCTATATCCTATTCCTGGCCTTAAACTACCTCCCTGCCAATTTTCAGCTAAATCGGTTCAGCCGTTCTTGAGTTATAAGTGGTGTAACTAACACAACTTTCTTTTATATATATAGATTATAGGATAACATTGTATATGTTATAAATATATTAATATATACTATATATTTAATATGACCTATTAAATAAAGATGATGTATTTTGTATAGAAAATTAATATACATATCTGCATTATATTTGTTTTTACGAATACTTTGTTTTATATTATAATTTAATATTTTTATATAACAGAAATCGTATATATCCTTAAGAATAAAAAATAAATTAAAGCTTTTAGTTTAAAACAAACGAATGAAATAATTTCGAAATACATATAATAAAAATTTTATAATGTCAAGTCAATTCAAAAATTGTACTAACGTCTAAAATTTCAAATTATTCATATTGAGAGATATGGAGTATTCGAAAATATGTTTCTACATGAAAAACCTTATAAATAAGTTATAGTTTTAATGATTATAAAAAATTATTGTTATAAAATATAATATAAATTGTGGTGAAATTTTCTTAAAATTACAATATTTTATTGGAAGCTTTTAATCCAGTACATATCTACTACATATAAGCCTAGTGTTTACTATATTCAAAATACTTCGAACAAATTTACCTTAAATAAATTATACTTTCAACATATAGAAAAACGTATAAAAAATGAATTTACGAAAATTATAAATAAAATTTCTTAATTATCTTGAAATTATAACGTAGCCTAACGTCATTATACACACAATGTCAATTATAAAAATATAACATCTTTAACTTTTATAAAAATACAGATATTATGTTGAGAACATATAAAAAAAGTTATTACAATGCTAAATTTACAGTTACTGAAAAACAATTTAATTCCTAATGAATTAAAATTATGCGAAAACAAATTTACATTTATAATGCTACTCATTGTCATATATATATTGCTTCTGACCCCTTGTTGGCTTGATGTCCACCAGATATGTATATATTATTTGCTGCTGGAGATTGAACACCTTCTGACCAGTCAGATGTAGATCGCGGAGATGAGCTCGACCAATGACCTGGTGATTCTGGCGAAGGAGTAGGGTAACTATCAAGTGTCTGAACCAAATGTTGAGGAGTATGACTACCAGAATGTTGGCTAGGCGGAGTTAAATATTGATAAAATGATTGATTATTTTGAGAAGTTGGTGAAAGGATATTTGAAGAAGGTGACGACCCTGCCAAAGAACTTTGAATAGAGGGTGGATTTATTTGTCCAGAATGAAAGGAATCTATAAAATAATTATACATTAATAGCTGTACAATAAAAATGATTGAAGCTCAATTTACCAGGAGATCCACATAGACTATTAATATCCAGTCCTGCTGAATTATGTTCAATATTGCCCAATTGCTGAATAGTTGCATTATTTTTTGTGTTACATTGTTGCATTATTGATTGTTGCGGCTGCTGAGAAGACATCAAAATACCAACGTCGCTACCAGTTGGTGATATTATACCTAAACTAATTGGTGAAGTTTGTTGCGAATTATTTTGGTTTCCATTTGATTGAAAACATAAATTATTAGAAGTTGTAGCTACATTGCATAGAGATGGATTTGTGTTAGTTAATGCGCAATTTGCAAGCATATTGCTTGAATTACTACCAAATTGTTTCTGATGCGTAGCATGACGCATAGCTTGAATGTGTGTAGGAGATGTTGGTAAGCTCGGTCGTGTTTTTGCTGGTGAAGGGGAACCTAAATAGGCTTGTGGTGATAGAGCAACATTACTTTGTACTGAATGTGGTGGCGATTGATTGGAATATGGTGGACTTAAAGCCTGATCATTATTTCCCAGTACATTTCGACCAGTTATACAAAGCGGATTGACACCCTGATTACCTAGAATTTCGGCATGAAATGCAGCGTTCATAGAGAATCCATAATTATCCATTTTTATCAAATCAATATTATTCTGATGTGGTATCGATTGAATAGATTGTGCATGCTGTAAATTAGTTTAAAGTATTTTTAACATTCAAATAAAATGTATAATGTATAAGTATATAAAGTTACTCACTTTAATGCAATCTTCGTAGCTAGGAGGTTGTTTATTTTTGTTATTAATTAAAAGATCTTTATGATGATGTGGAGCCGATATCGCATTTGAATAAACTGAAGATGTGTCATATGGACTCGATAAATTTGTTAGTGCTGTCGGTGGTGGTGACTCGATAGAATTTATTCCACCATCTAAAATTTGTTTGTCCACTGTATTGTGGAGTCCCGAACCCGTGTGACCACTAGTTAAACCATTTAGTAGTTGTGCTGCTACAAGTCCGTTTACTCCCTTTTTTGAAGTTGTGTTCATTCCCTTTTTTGAGTTAGTTTTTCGTCGTAAACTACCTGTATCCATACCAGTATCTGGACTACCTTCAAGAATTTTAGATTTTTTAGATGCCTTATTTTTAGGTCCTTGTGATGACTGTTTACCAGTGGTAATCACTGTAGGTTGTGTAATCATTTGAGGTTGACCACTTTGTGAAGGAGACCCAATTGATGTTTGTGGTGTCATTATCATTTGAGGAGAACGTGGAATATGTTCATCTAATAGACGTACTATATCATGGTGTAATCGTTCAGATGCAACATCACGTGGCAAGCGATCCATGTGATCAGTTATTTCCCGATTTGCAAAGTTGTCTAAAAGAGCTTTACAAGCTTCATATGATCCTTCACGAGCCGCAAGAAAAATGGGTGTTTCGTCTTTATCGTCTTGAGCATCGCGATTGGCATGGTGCATTAATAAAATATTTACTGCTTCTGTATTATTTACAGCAGCTGCCCAATGTAGGGCAGTTTTTCCAGAATTATCAGCTGCATTTATATCTGCATCGGCAGTAATTAAGTCTTCAACCATTCCTTCAATTGCAAGACGAGCAGCTAAAATTAATGGTGTAGTTCCATCATGCATGCGAGCATTTAAGTTAGTAGCTCGATTACGTAATAATATTTGGAAAACACCCATTGCGTCTGCTGCTACAGCAGCATGTAATGGCGTACGTCCTGTATTATCTTGGCAATTTGCATCTGCTCCAGCATCTAACAGTCGTTTAGCTGCATCTGCTCGTGCATATCTGGCTGCTAAATGTAATGAAGTTTCTCCCGTTTAATCCATTGTAGCGTTTAGTTCAGCTCCTTGTGCTAGTAAATCAGATATTACTTGAGCTGTTGCATCATCGGAATTTTCAATATCATCACCAGTGTCAATGCTACCACCACGAACTGCAGCCACCATTAAGGGTGTCATACCACAAGGACCACGAATATCCACATCATGTTTACCATCCTGGTGTGCTGGAGGAGTCATAATAGAGGATCGAACATCCGCTACATCTACATGTGCTTGGGACCAAACTCGTGGATCTGCTTCCTCATAATCTGTTACAATTGTATGATCACTTGAATAGCCGGTGATATCATTTCGTGTTCTTTTAGGTTGAGGGATATCTGATTCGTCGTCAGACCAATGCGCTGCATGACCTATATGTCCCGAATTCATATTTACATCATTACTCATACAAACTATTGATTGGTTTTTATTCAAATTTCGCATTTCTTGTCCACTATGATCTCTACGTCTTCGTTGCCGATTGATAGCATTTGCAGGTGCACGAAAGCCTTCAGGAAACCAAGTAACACCATGTGCTCGCTTACGTTGTGTTGTAACTAATACTCCAAATAGTGCAAATGCTAGTACGACTAAAACAATACCCAATGTTACGTATTTAACATTGGTGGGTGTTTCATCGACGTCTTCTCCAGGATTTTGCACACCTTGTACACTAAAAATGGGGAATTTCCTTGATAGTGTATATTTTGAAGCAGTAGCTGCCAAAAATTCTGCCGCTTCAGTAGCACGATTAAAACAGTCTCTACATTTTCTATTATCAATCTCTAAATATATCTGAATTCCATTTTGATCATTCCGCTCCGTGAAAATAATTTTATGTTTTCGTCCAAATTCGGTGTTTTCAAAATCAGTTATTAGAGTTGTTCCTTTCCAAATGAATATCATATCGTTTCCCATTGAGTCCTTTTTTACACGAACTGTTGTTCGTAAAACATGTCCCATTTCTCGCAAAAACTCAACCTGTGCTTCTTGAAATTGCTTTTTACTCATAAGCATTACAACGGAAATAGCACCATCCGCTAAATTGGGTTTTTCTGTCTCACAATCTAGCCCATCCCAATTACATTCTGCATTATTGCATCCATAATCACAAAACCCATTAGCATAGTGTTTTTGGCAATATCCATCAAAACTGGGATTACATGGCTGTAGTTTTTTGTCACAATCTCTACCATCATATAAACAAGCAGCGTTATTACATTCTTCGTTACAATTTCCATCTAAAAAAACTCGCCAACATTCTATAGTTGCGGTACAATTCACCCAAGGATTGATACCAAGCGAACAATCGTGTCCATCAAAATTACAAGCGTATGTGTTGCATTCTGGATCACATATAAAGTTTAATTTTTTTTGCTCACAACTACTCTTAACGCACATTTCACGTTGATATTCAAGATCTTTAGTGTATTTGTTTAAATTTCCACGTGACGTGTCAGATATCCATCCCATATAATTGGGATCAAAAATTTCGCAACGCTTACCCCTCCATTTTGTGGGACAAAAACAATCAAAATCACCAAGTAAGTTATCACAAGCAGCTCCTTGCAAACATGGATTTGGAGCGCATTCATCTATTGTATCAATTTCACAATGAACTCCAGCTGTTCCTTTAGGACATACACAATGATGTTCTCCATCGCTTTCATCAATTTCGCAAATTCCCGATTGGCATGAATTAGATATACAATCATGGCCGGAGAGTTCACAATTCTTTCCGTAAAAGCCATCCGAACAGAGACAATGATGACCGCTTTGTCTAGTAGAACAAATGCCACCATTTTGACACGGAGAATTAGCACAAAAATCAACTTTATTCTCACAGTGTCGTCCCATGTAACCTGGTTTGCAGTTACAGTGATAATTGTTCACTAATTGTACACAATCTAATGTCCCAGCGTTTGAACATGGATTTGAAAGACATTCATTAATATCGCCTTCACATCGAGACCCTACAAATCCTGGAGGACAAGCACATTCAAAGCCCCCAACGCGATCAATACAAGTACCATTGTTATGACATGCACCAAATATACAATCGTCCTGGTTAATATCACAAATAATACCAAGAGTCCCTGGAGGACACGAACATCGAAACGAATCAACAAGGTCATGGCAAGTACCACCATTTTGGCACGGATTTGGCAAGCAATCATCAATATTAAGTTCACAATTCTGGCCTTGGAAGCCTTTTCGACAAATACATTGATAAGTACCTATCAGATCCCGACAACTTCCACCATTTTGACAAGGTTGAGATTCGCATTCATTTATCTCTTTTTGACAATAGCTTCCTGTAAAACCCTGTTTACAGTTGCAATGGTGAATTGTTCCAATTTCTTTACAAGTTCCATTATTACAGAGACATTTAAGACTTATTCCTTTTCTAGTAGCGGCATCTTTACATGAAACCATTTCTACATCGCAGAGTTTACCTGTCCAACCAGTACTGCATTTGCAACTGTATTGATTCTTTATTTGAGTACATGTCGCACCATTTTCACAAGGCGTTTCAGGACACCACTCCACATACTCTGTGCATTGTTTACCAATAAATCCATAAGAGCAATGACATGTATATTCTTCCCCATTTCCATGGCAAGTAGCTCCATTTTTGCACGGTTGGGAATCACATTTATTAATTTTATACTGACAATTCGATCCCATATATCCGGTCAAGCAAGAACAATTATAACTATTTATTCCATCTACACAAGTTCCTCCATTAATGCAAGATGTCTCAGTACAATCCTCGTCATTTGTTTGACAATTAATACCAGAAAATCCCAGTGGACAAGTGCAAGTGTATGAATTCACATATTGTCGACATGTTGCACCATTTTGACATGGCATACTTAAACATTCGTTTATGTCTGTTTCACAATGTTTTCCATCGAATCCATCAACGCATAGGCAAGAGTAGTCTCCAATACCATCAACACAGGTTCCACCATTTTGACAGGGAAATGAAGCACAATCATCTGTATTGATAGCACAGTCTCGGCCTTCATATCCTTTAGCACATAAACATTTATATGAGCCTGGCACGTTACGACAAGTAGCTCCGTTACGACACGGTGAAGATAACTTACATTCGTCTATATCTTCATCACAATAACGACCAGTATAACCTAATTTACAAGTGCATGAAAAATCCAAAAAATTTGTTGATGGTGTACATTTTGCGTCATTGCGACACCTATTTGTGGAACAAGGATCAAGCTTCGATTCGCAATCCAAACCTGTAAATGGAACTTTACATACACATTTATAGCCATTTACTTTATCAATACAGGTGCCACCATTTGCACAGGGCATATTAACGCAGTCATCAATGTTAGTTTCACACTTATATCCTGTATAACCAGGCATACATTGGCACTTAAAGTAGTTTAATTCATCAATACAAAGTCCACCATGTTGGCAAGGGTTTGAACTACATTCGTCAATATCAATTTCGCATCGCTTACCAGTATAGCCAGGCGGACAATAACATATAAATTCATTTACGCCGTCTTCACATCTTCCATCGTTTGTGCATGGATTCGATGCACACTCATCAACATCACTTAAACATCTTGGATCAAAGAAGCCACGTGGACACTCGCATTTATATCCGTTTACCAAATCCATACACACGCCACTGTTAGCACACGGGTTCGAAGCACATTCATTTATATTAATTTCGCAATGTACTCCTGTAAATCCGGGAACACAGTTACAAGTGTACATATTGATCCCGTCAATACAAGTAGCTCCATTGTTGCAAGGATTGCTATGACATTCATTTACATTTATTTCACAGTTTTTACCGGATGTACCAGCCAAACACTGACATATATACGATCCTATGCGATCTATGCAATGTCCACCGTACTGACAAGGATTCGATTCACATTCATTTATTTGAGTTTGACAAAGATAGCCTGTATAACCTGGATCACAAACACATTCAAAAGAATTGTCTCCATCGATGCATTTTCCACGGTGACATGGATTAGAGTCGCAATCATTGATATTTATTTCACATGATAGTCCTGTATAGCCGGGTGGACAATTGCATGTATATCCCGCAATAGAGTCACGACAAATGCCATTGTTTCGACATGGTTGAGATTGACAATCATCGATATTTATTTGACAACGTGGTCCAGTAAAACCAAGTGCACAAGAACATTTAAAACCGTTAATCATGTCACGACAATTACCATCATTTAAGCAGGGAGAGGATTGACATTCATTGATATCAATTTCACATTGCGTGCCAGTGAAACCAGGCATACAAACACATCGAAAAGTTCCTGGGTCATCTAAACAACTTCCTTCATTTTGGCACGGGTGTGATTCACATTCATTTATGTTGGTTTCACATCGTGGACCAGTGAAACCTTGCGAACAGTTACACATAAATGAACCTGGAGTATTAACACATACACCATTGTGTTCGCAGGGTGAACCCTGATCACACTCATCAATATCTTCAGAACAATCTACTCCCTTAAATCCTGTTGCACATGAGCACGTATATGAACCATTTATTGGGCTCGTATCACAAATAGCATCAGAATGACATGGATTAGAAGTGCATGCATCATCTAAGTGGCACAATAAACCAGTTTTTCCAGGTGTACAGCGACAATAAAATGAACCAACCCCATCAATACAAGTAGCTCCATTAAAACAGGCGGCGGCAACACAATCATCAATATTCTTACTACAATCTGTACCTTCCCAACCATTTACGCATATGCAAGAATACGATCCGTAAGTGTTAGTACAAGTTGCACCATTTTGACAAACTGATGGCCTATAATAAATATAACAACATTAATTTAAAGTTCCCATATTTACAGTTGTAATTTACCTTAAAGCACATTCATCTACATCGGTTTCGCATAATTCGCCTGTAAACTGTGCTGGGCAACTGCAACGATAAGAATTGATTCCGTCAACACAAGTGCCACCATTTTGACATAAATTTCCTGGACAATCATCAATATTTTCTTCACAATTCTTTCCTTGATAACCTTATTAAGAAATAATTAAAAATGTCTTTAAGATAAATTTTAAAATAATTCAAATATATTTTAAGATAATAGATACATATAATATAGGAACACAAAACAATTGTATATTTATCTCTTTTTCATTTAAATCCTATAAATCCTATATGTACATATAATACAGAGATTTTGTAATAAATTATTTATCAACATACATGTATATATATTGGTTTATATATATAGTTAATTTTTTTTTAAATTCATGTGGTTAATATAATATTTTTATGTTATTATAATTGTTTTTATAATATAATGTAGCGAAAGAAGATCAGTATAAAAAATTCGAGAGAAGAGAGAATAGAAATATTAATATATAAAAACTAAACCGGCTTTCGACAGCGAGTCTCGTTCGATAATAACTGGATTTTCAAACAAAAGTATATGCTCGAAGCTCAGTAAAATAATGCGATTGACCAAGTATATGAGAAAATAGAAGAAATGTTTATTCAAAATTAACTCATACATATGCCGCTACATTAACCAGAAAAAGCTTAACGATATCGAGAAAACGTAAACAAACCAAGCATTTAGTTATATAAAGCAGATAACAACAACCATATTTTAATATTCTTTCCCACGGTCTCGTATCTTTGGTTCGACTACACTACATCAGTAACTTAAGCTTGTTGTTCGTTCATTGCGCTTTATTTCGCTTTGTGTTATACTATAAAAATTCAAAATAAAAAAAATGATAAAATAACCGAGCATAGCAATAAACCGATCTGTGTCTCACGTCTCACTTCACTAACATAAGGTTTCCCCGCATCCATGACTTGTAAGGTGCGCTAGTTTAATTTAAGCCTTGCCTGGTATTTTTCATGTATATTATTCCATTTCAAAGGTATATGTGACTATACATACGTACACACGTACACACGTACATACATACCTACATACATACATACTACATGAAAACATCCATTGAAACGTATGGCAGATAATATGTATACTTAAATAAAATTTTAAATTGTATTTGCTCTGACATTTTTACATGTAGTATATATTTTGCTGTCATCAAAATAAATCATTGAAATGTGTGGTATACAAACATTTTTACACATACAACAAAACCGACAGTGCATTTTAGTCTAAATTTGCATTTTATACATGTGTGTATGTATGTATGTACAAAAAATGGCATAATTGTGAAGGGACGTTAAAAAAAAAATAAAAAAAAAACTATCTGCACATAAATATTCTCGTATATATGCAATAGTTTTTTGATCATGCACTTTTTCACTTTTTTATATCAAATTAAATAGCTTTGCATAATTTATAAAGCTTCAAAATAGTGCAGAAAAATAATAATAATATTATATTAGAAGAAAAAAAGCTTCTAATTTTTAGGTAATTGATTTTTATGTACGTAACATTTAGGACAGATAGTCTTTGACTGCTACACATGTTTAAATGAGTTGTCGACGCAGTTCAGTAATTCTCTAATCTGGGTTCCCGGTCATAGGGATATTTTCGGCAATTGCAAAGCAGACGTACTAGCCATACAGGGTGCTTCAGGAAACCACTCGGAACACCTTAACAATAACAATCTGAGCATATCGTTGATAACATGCAAATTGGTGCTGAGCTCTATTAGTGTCGAAATTTTTAATAAAAGATGACAAGACTGAACGAGATGCAGGCATCTGTATGCAATTTGACCACACACTAATAAAAGAAAATCAATCTCTCTCATCGATATGCACCGTACAGATATCTTCATTACTTTTCTATAACTTCTAAAAAACGTATTAGGTATTAAATTCACGCATTAGTCTTCAAAATTGCATCAAATAAATTTGATGCCACAAACAAAACCGTCTTTTACATGCATGTGTCTACTTTGACTATTGGCCAGAACTCTTCTAAGGGCGTCTTTACTATTTAGATACTGAATTTAAAATAATATTATTTTCTCACGATATGTATTAGCTAATTCTACAACAATTCTCGAACAGCAAAATTGTTTAATTCACGTGATAAAATGCTATCAACCACAATCATCGATCGTAGTAACTTATGTTTTCTTTCTAACTTTTTAAAATTAAAAAAACCTATGGGGAGCGTTTTCAGAATAAATCGAGTTACAAGGTGTCAAAGGATACAGACAATCGAATTTTCAATAACTAGAACTAAATAGAGTGCAACAGGGTTTATAGGACAAATTATACACAATTACTCGATGTCTTCGTCTTCATAAGTCGAACCTTTAGATTGTACGTCGACGACTATTATAAGTTTCCGCCATATTAATATTTGTAGTAAGTTTTATTAGACTATGTGCAATCTATCTATCTATCAATCTATCTTGCATTGTTTTTGATCTTGTAATCTATCTCTGAACTGTTTGAACTCTGAACTGATTTGATAATGTAGTGCAATAAAGTAAAATTATGCACTAAATTTTTTAAATTGTGTTTATTGTTAAAAATTTATTTTAAAAAATTATAAATATAATGTCTAATCAGGTCATGCATTTTTTTTCACTTCATAATGAATCAAAATTTCATTTAAAATAAAAATTTGCAATATTATAAGGTATTTGTTTTAATATTTTTACACATACATATACATATACAAGTGTGCTATATATTAAATATTACCATATGCATATAAAAAAATTCATTTTCAAATATTTAACTTACCAGACGGACATTTACATTCATATTTAAGGGAATTACTAGATAAACATGAACCTCCGTTTAGACACGGTGAAGGCGTACAAGGAATATATTTTGATTCACAATTTTTGCCAGTGTATCCGCTAGGGCACATACACCTATAAAAAAAAAAAGTAAAATTCATAATTTAGATAGGTATATATATTAAATTGAAGTTGCGCTGCCCTCTGCTATAAAAAGTTAATTTTTTTTATACTACAAAAACAATATTTTAAATTAATTTTAAGTTATATTCGGAAAACATCTTACTGATAAGATCCATGAGTGTTTAAGCAAGTTCCTCCATGCTTGCAAGGGTTTGCTTTGCATTCCTCAATATCTTCAGAGCAGGTATGGCCTTTAAAACCTTTTGGGCATAAGCATTTAAAACTACTGCCTTTCCCTGAAGAAGTGCACGTAGCTCCATTACGACACGGTTGGGTGGCACATAGATTTTGTACTTCGCAATGTTCGCCTAAAACAATTTCATTAAATAGTGACACATTATTTACTTATATATAAGTTTATTATTTTCTATTTAATATTGAGTTATTAAGGAATAATATGGTTTATTCTTGAAAAACAGTGTTTTTTATCAAAAGTGTGTTAAACGAATTTTTCATGTTTTTTTTTTATTGATGGAATCTGCGGTAATATTGGGTTTTGTGGGCCCCAACAACTTGCTCTTCACAACCATCTTTAAACGACTTACATTCATGAGTATACCACTCATGAACTCTGCCACGGAAAAACAATCGTTACCAAAGACGCTTCCATTCATTAACAGTATGTATATGTATCTAACTAGCAATTGATGGAATTTTTTTTTTCCGAAACCATTTCTTTGTATGTAGTTTAGTATATAGATTTTGTATATAGTATATAGATGAGATTTTGTACCACCGGTAGGTATCATGTTTTTTTTTTGTTTGTTAGATGCTCGGACGTCTCTATATTTAAATATGTAATTGACTAAAACTTTAATACCTTTCTCACTAATAGGTATTAAAGTATATTAATACTAGTATATTTTTACTATTGAAATGTCGTTAGTATGTGGGCATCATGATATCAGATTAACCAATTATATCTATTCTATAAATAGCGTTAAAAAAATCAGTTGGATCCTTTTGTAACTGGCTTAAAACAACATATTCGTTTAATTTTTTATTTGAAATGCTGCGGAGATTAATAGCGAATATAATATGTTCTTCAAGAGTGGGTTATTCGCATTACATTACCGATTTGGTACCCAATGATTTATTTTTGTTTTGAAACATTAAGAAAAAAATGCGTGGCGAGCGTTTTTGTATGTCCGAACAGGACGGCCGTTGATACATTCAAAACCCTAGTGTTAGAGATACCAACATCAGATTGGCAAAACTGTTTCGAAAATTGTTTTAATCGATTGTAAAAATGTATTGATCATCATGAGGATATTTTTCGAAAAAGAATAAATAAAACCATTTTCAATGATTAAACAATGTGTTTTAATTGTGGTGCGCAAGACTTAAAAGGCAGCCCTTGTATTCATATATTCGTAGTTCTATTAGTATTGTCGTCTCTGGTTGCGATATTTTGAAACATAAAAATTCGCCGAATAGACTAATGCAAGACTTGGTAAATAAGCACAAACTAAACATCATAGCAGCTTGGTATCACTGTTAAGGGTGCAACATTTCGTATGTTGATTAAACAGTGTTTTTTGGTCAGGAAAAATACTGTTAAATCCAAACAAACAGCACCTTGATATCCCTCATAGAGAATCTGTACCAGGAAATCAACTTAGTTAATTGATATGCTGAATTTAAACGCACGCATACAAACACCGACAATGATGCAGGGTCTTATAGGTCGTCTACAATTGGCAGTTGTTGTAGAAAATAAAAAAAAAAACTCCACGAAAGACTAGTTTTGAAATGCCATAGCGTGAAGTCAATGAATTAGGCATTGAATTGCTTTCCCCAGCAATTGCTGGTTCTTTTGCAAGAACAAGAAAAAAGTAATAGAACCGTGATAATAAGGGAATCACTCTTGAAGGTGATCATGCCTTCATCAAAGCACCTAATTGCATATGTCTTGTTTTTAAAAAAAAATGTCCGTCCTTTAAACTTTAAACTCAATCCTACATTCCATATATCACTACCGTTAACATTTCACTTTAATACAGGGTATTATGCGTACCGTGTCCAATGAATTCACCTTGTCAGGCAAAACGGACGCGTATGATCATTGAGAATATCAAATAACAAACTAGTCTTGTATCTATCAGGTGGACAGGATACTGTCCACCACAACATGCGATATTATTCGAAAGCTGCTGAATCAACTGATGAACATGTGAGAAGCAGCACAATAGCTACCTCCAATAGCTGTTTCCAAGAGCGCGAATTTTCGCAACCTAACGATATCAATTGTAGAATCGCCGAGGGAAGCAGTAGCTCATTGCCAATCGAGTGAGAGAACGCGAATATAACAACCTATAACCGCTTAAAGAGGTGTGAAGCTAAGAAGCTTCAAGTGAAAATTAAAATATAACTAACCCAGGTGGCGAAGGACGCTTTTATCAATCCGAATAGAACACTTCTAGGTTTTCACTCGAGAAGGTTGCAAACACATAGAGAGCCTTAATTGCTTGGAAGACTTTTGTGACGCTTAAAAGAGCTTAAAACTAAAATTCGTCCAGACTTAAGATTCGTAGATATAAGCATTCAAGTATTTTTATATAATGTGATCTGTGTTACTTTTAAATATTCTAAAGTTTTCTTAAAAAAATGCATTCTTTTGCATGAAAAAATTTAACTCACTCCTATGAATAGTTCATAAAATCTTACCTGTATAACCATTTGAACAAGAACAAGAATACTCTTCAAGAGTTTTTAAATTGCACGTCCCTCCATTGTGACATGGAGAAGAATCGCAAGCGTTAGGAACTTTTATTTCACACAGTGATTCCGTAAAACCAATTGGACAAATGCAGGATATACCTAGACGATCGTTCCGATATGAAGGTTGGCACGTTCCACTGTTCTGGCAACGAAGGTGGCCTGTAAAGCAGGGATTTGGATCTTCGCAATAATCTCCAACGAATCTTGAACTGCAACTAAAAAAGTACATAAATGATTAATAATTGTCTTGTTTTTTATATATAATACATTAAAAAAATATATTTAAAAATATATATCTCAGTGCGGCGTTGTAGCGCAATACCATAAAAGATTGCCATCAAAGATTTATAACAATTTAAAAAACTTCAAAAACTTCATATTCCAGTTCAATACACCATTTCACATAATTCATGTTAAACACTGTTTTAAAACAAGCATTTTAAGTGGCTTTACATAAAAATGGAATAAAAATTTCAGAAGTTATTCGCCATATTCCATATTTGCACAAAATAGTGGTTTTGAACAAATCAGAAAAATTATTTCTTCTGAACAAATTTTATTTAAAAATTAAATATTAATATTATTAAATATTAATATATTGCATTTTATATAAGTGCAATACATTGCATATGCAGTTTCGGACGTGAAACTGCATTTTTGAATAAGTATTTATATATTATAATGAGGCATATGAGTGCTTTCAGCAAACTTCTTATAGTGTGTAGGATTTGTTTCTGTGATAATTGTCCAACAATAATCTCCCAACATGCTTGCGTCCCAATATCCTTGATATCTTTTTTCCTTTGCAGAGATATCCTGAAGAAGGTGATCTTTCACCTTTTTCATCACTTTCTGTACCGAGATTTGAAGGAAAAAGTTCACATGAGAGTGTAAGAAATGCATTTTTAGAGACATCGTTATTTCAAGAACTTTGTAATTTTCGAGTTCTATGGAAAAGTTTCTCATAGGAAATATAAGTTACGTATCTTTGGAAATGTTTGGCTCTGAACTAGTATTATCTTATTCTAATTTATTTATTAGAAATTAAAATTCAATGGGTCAACGACGTGTTAACTTTATTAATTGATATGTACGTAAATGAAAATATGTAGTTAATTCTTGATAATAATTTTGTATTACAATTGAAACTTTATTTTGGTCGTCAATTGTTAATTGTATTTATTCCAAAGTTTCAAGAATTTCAGGTACATACCTACTCACTGCCTTCATCATAATAAATTGTGTGTGTGATAAAGCGTTGAGGCATGTTTGTCCATTAAACTGAACACACACTCAGGAGCATTGCAACCCTGATGTTCTATATTTACAACTTTTAAACCATATCCTCTTTTATAATTGCCAATTTTTAAATCAATCAGTTTTTCTAGTGCACGTAATAAAAATAGCAATTTGAAGACCTCATTTTGTAATACTCAACATTATATCAATGATTCTAAATCCACTCCCTAATCAATATAGGATCGGGTAGTAAACAGGATTGAATTGCTGTCGAGAGGTAGAAGAGTTGATAACTATACTAGTGTGTGGAATTAATTGATTTGATTGATATTACGTTATTCGAATTTAATTAAGACTGTGTTCTGATTTTGAATTGTTGTAAATTGCTAAAAAGATGTGTACAACATTTTCAAATAATATTTTTTTGCTGAAACACTTGAGCTAATTGGTCCAAAATTGAATGTTTCCCAGACATAGAAAAGTTTCTGCTCAATTATTCCGATCTCAAATATCGTGACTCTGGTACACGATACTCTTCCTATCTTTCTGGCCCACTTATAAAATGTTTGAAAACAGGTTTATAAAATTTTTTAACTTGAAACTGCCGTTCATTCCGATATTTGTTTATTTTTTTCATTTTACTTATAAAGAATGATATTTCAGGATTTTGTACAAACGCAGTATTAAGATTAAACAACAAAATCGTATTTATAATGAATTAAATAGCATTTAGTCCAAAAAGGAAAGCCCTTACTTTTATCTGAACACTTTTTCGTGCGGAATTTTAAAATAAAATATCGTATATTGAGATCAGAAAGTAGAAATCTTAGATTGAAAAATATCTGATTATAAATTTTCGTGAAAGTAGAGGTATTTGAATTTTTTTTACTCACAGTTTTTTAATGCACTAACAGAAAAACAATGGGCCTATTTACACTATCATGAACGTAACATGAACATGAACTTGAAAACCGGTTACCGATAGATGAGAGAGGGAAGAGAGTATGATGTGAGTTTAAGAATTTCACGCAAAGAAATTTACTGCGTTTCTTCAGCTTGACACGCATACATATGCAGTGTAACAACCGACAGTTGTCGTCAAGTTCATCTCACGTTCATGATAGTGTAAATAAGCCCAATAGAAGAATAAATACTTGTTTATAAATAAAAATATGACATACAAAAAATATCTATTAAAGCATTTTTCTATCAGATTAATACACTCATTGTATAAATATGAACATTGCTTGTGACAAAGTTTGTACATTCTTTCTTACTCTCTTTACTCTTTTATAATCAAGTGATAAATGCTGATATGTAGAATATTTGAAAGTTGTTCAACTTCTGAGAAACTTAATAATAATCGAAAATCACTGTTATGATCTATGTTATCATAATATTATCATTATAGGCATATATACGAAAGTCTTTTTGAGTCACGTTACTTTTCATGTGGCAGGCAAAAGAGAATGCGGTCCAGTTTTCAGCTAAAATAGGTGGGATGGCAACTTTAAGGACCAATAAATGAAAATTATTTTTTATATTACATTGTCCTCATTATTTTTAAATTTGCACTACCAATTCTATTTACATTTCTCTGGCATAATATACTAAAATATATTAGTGATTTAAAGTGTATTTTATAATATTATTTTAACTCGTTGCTCTCACGACACTAAAGTAAAATTTTAGTTTAGTTTTCAATAAAAAAAAAGTTTGTTAAAAACACAAAACAGATTATGAAGGCAATAAGCAATATCCCTCATAATTTCTTATGGCATTTTAGAATAATTTAAAGCTAAATTTTAAGTTACTTTATTTTGTAGTAAGGATAGTAAGAAATAAATATTTAATTAAACATATATATATATAAGATATATATATATATATATATATATTCTAATTAGTTTATATGTAAAAAAATGTTTATTTGATGTTATTTATATAAACGGTTTGGTACTTGCAACGTTCCTAAAACTTTCATTGACACTGATTTTTAGGGAAGTGAAGTTTCGAGACGTTACTGTTTAAGTATGTTTTATATTAACTTACTTGCAATATGATAATCCGTTACTCTTTTTTATACAGGTTCCTCCATTTTTACATCCAACTTGCAAACAAGTTCCAGCTGCATAAAAGAAAAACATATAAATTAGTAAATGATGCAAATTTATTAAAATTTTAACATTAAATATATTATTTCTTAGCTTTTGTTTGTATGAATTAAATATTTAAAAAAAAACGTAATAATTGGCACATCCATTAATAAATAAAATAAAAATTGGTATTCTTTTTATATCTATCTAGCGTTTCACATTATATCTACGTGCGTATAAATATTGTAAAAAAAAGCATATTAAAGTGGTACATTTTTATTACTTTCCAAGATACATATTACAAAAGAAAAGTCTATCCAAAAAAAAGCGATCTTAAATAATCCCCAATATCTTTAAAACTCTCTAAAGCCTAATATATCTTTATTTTTAAAGCAAAATTACTCAATAAAACAGGTTAAAGTGCCGTTTGACAAGCAAGATGACTACCGCCTTTACCTCTTACCGTTTATTTAATAGTACTAAAATATAGCATAAAAACAACATCAAAAGCACTTAACAGATATTTGACCAATGAAACATTGCTAAACCTAAGTTCCATATAAATAAATGTGATTTGCTTTAAAAAAAATCAATGTTTCTGTCATGGGGTAACTCCAAAAGGGGTCAGGATAAGCTAATCCTGACAATGTTATACTGTACTATGAATTAAATTTAAATTAATTCAAATAGTCAAAATTAATTATTTGACTAAAATTAAATTTAAAGTCGCTTTTGTTTTTTATTTCTTTATGATTTTAACCTTTATTTCAATCGTGTTTTTTTTTTGTATATTCCTATACGTATTTCGGCAAATTCGCTTTTGCCTTCATCAGGAGAAATCCTTATATTTAAAATAAATAAAAAATAAATATTTAATATTTTATTTTTGGAAAGAACTTAACCAAAATTTTATGTCGATCTGTAAATCTTTGCTCACAAGACATTTGAAATTGCATTTTTTACCAATGAAAAAAAAAAACGATCTAAGCAATTAAATCTATTTAAGAAAAAAATTTTTTTAAAGCTATGGAAATTTATACCGAAGTGCTGGAGTAAACACGGTTTTCCGGTATCCGGTATGAATAACTAACCTATTGGCTAGGTTTAGCTCCATATAACTCACGACTACTAACATCTCACAACTAAAAATCCATTTTTCATTTCCGTGCGATTACATTTTGAAAAAAATAGTACTTAACTAATCTATCAACAAATAATATAGAACAATTCAGTTTAGGATACCAAAGCAGCAATAATATACAACGGTTTTATCAACATATACAAGCAGATTATAATACCAGGACTACTCCACATTAAAAATTCTTCAGAGGGCAAAATATCGCTCCGTGGTATTGATTAGTGCCCGTGGTACATAAGAGGAGTAGATATTCATAGAGATCTGAGAGTCGATTCAGTCGAAAAATACATTAAAGATCGTGCACTGAAACTGTTCAACATAATTGACAGTCACAATAACCCAACACTTGCCAACCTAAAAACACAGCGAATCCTGATAAACACAGACAGATACAAAGACATTAGATCCATCATTTTCTAAAAGTCCCGTATTCAGTTATAAGGTGATAAATCACCACCTCAGGAAATACTTGTATAGATAAAAAGTCTTACTTTTTAATTTTAAAAATTTTTTTGTCTTGAAATTATATTTGAATTAAACTTGAACCTTTTCAATAAATTTTATGCTTGTGATTGATCTTTTGTATATTCTACTAAATACATAGCTGTATTATAATTGTATATCAACTATTATAAGAAGATAATTCAGTTCATAACCTCCTCACACACTAACTAACCTTGTCAGACATTTATTTACTACAAAAGTAGAGATCTGGTTTAAATTGTTCCGTAATTTTCCCTTCTGTCCGGAAAACTGTTCGTAATTTTTAATGAAAAATATTAAATAGACAATGAATATATAGTTTTGAATTAGTCAAACTAATTCTTATTCTTATATGGACGCTGTTAAGAATACTACTTGTTTACTTGCTTGTTTCTAATGACAGAAAAAAGGATTTTTCATCGCTGAAATAGTGTTTCAAGTGGATCGTAAATGCATATCATTTGTTTATCTTTATATGTTTTATAGTCATCTTATTAATACTTTATAAGAGACAGATTTGCACTTTTAATATTAGTTTAAGGAAAATTTGTTTGAAATAATTAAAGTGAACTCGCAGAATAACACTAAATTAGTTTTTGAATTACAAAAAAATAAAATTTTTTTATAATGTTTTCTTCCAATTATATTTGAAGTATTTTAGACATATTTCTTGATTTGAAACACAATTTATTGATATAAATTTACAAAACTTTTTGCAGTTTAGTCTTTCTTTGAAAATAAAAATCCATTCAAACAAATAACGGATAATGTCTAATGCTTATATTCGGAGATGAATATATATATATATATATACATAACAATTAAGCATATATAATTTCGCCTCTTAATTAAATAATATTTAATTTAAACTAATAACATGTTTCTTCAATTAAAAATTTTCATAGAATTTAAAAATTGGTTTCCATAAAACATAAATATGTATATATATACTACATACATGCTGTTAATAACGTTCTTTTAATTTACTTGTTTATTTGAATTGATAAAACACTTACTAACTTGACAAAAAAAACGTTTTGTACCTAAAATGCATTTTTCAAAAGAGTGCCAAGTTTTAACATTTTAAATATCTATAAAAAAAAATAAGAGGATATACATGAGCAATAGTCTATTAGAGTTAAGAATGTTGTTCGAGACTCGAACGTATATTACAATGGAGGAAGCGACCACCTGTCTATCTTTTTTTTTAAATATAAGCACACGAAAAATGATAGATTTAAAACATTTACATTTATTTCGTTTTGACTATACTTCTTTTTTTAATTAATAAATTAAAATCATTGAAAACGTTAACAATATTTTAACATTTTTAATATTTATGTACACAACACAATAGTTTTTGAGTGTGTGAGTGTGTTCCTTTGTAAAAGGAATATGTATTAGAAAACAAAATGGAGACCAATATAATTATTACAATGTAAAGGGAAGTACTTATGATACTTATGAATTTTTAAATTATTTTGTTATATATTTTACCTGCTGATTGAGATAAATTTATTAATCCGAATATTAAAGTTATAAACAATATTTTAATTCTAAATACGTCAGACTTGACGTATCCACTGTTAAATAAAAGTAAAAGCCACATTATTTATCCAGTTCAATTTCTTTCTGAACCTGGAATTTATTAAAATGTTGTTTGAAGTTTATATATTTCACTTGAATAAATTGCACTAAAACTTCGTATACATATTGCCCATATACAAACAAGTATAAATTTCAGATGTTAAAGATGGTAAGCACTTATATTTACAATACATTTAAAGGCACACATTAATTAATGAAAAGTACACCATTTAATATAACATATTCAATATTCATTTTCGTTAATTTTCTATTTAACAATGATTATTTTCTGCGGCTTAACATAGTAATGGATTTTATTTTTAATTGAAGACACTTCCATTTACTTTCTGTATTAAGAACCGCAAACACTCAACTCTACGCTACGACTTCACTCTGCGCCGACTCAATCCACTTTAAGTTTTTGAATTCTCAGCTTATACATCACCACCATTTTCATTGAGAACATACAATTTCTACACTTTATTTTGTAATGTTACCAGAATCAATACTAGTTTAGCATCAAGTAAATAGTAGGTATACGAAATATTTTTTCATTTATATAAACTCATAAGATATTTATTCTGTACTAGTTATTAGTTTAGTTTTATTATAATCCAATTTGTTTTAAATAAACAATTCTTAATTTTATTATAATTAAAAAAGTATAAACGTAACAACAAAAACCAAAATTAGGAACAAACACAGAACTACGCTCCGCGCCGACTCAAACCACTCTGACATATACTATCAAAAAATCACTTTGTGTTAAACTACTTCATCAAAATATCTCTACACCACATATCTGGTACTGCCAGAGTTACAATTTTTCTAAAAACAATTATAAATTCTTTGATCGCACACCAAAGAATACTCAATAAGAACGGAAACTCTATTGTGAACTAAAAATAATTTTTTTTTGACAACAATTAATTTAATAATGGTCTGAGCGTTCTATCAACGCTTTGTAAACAAAAATGCAAAATAAATTAAAAAGTTTCAGAAATGAAAAAATTGTGGAAATGAAATCTTTAAAAATATGTACATATAAATATTCAAAAATTTATAGAGACCACATGTAGAAAGTATAATTGAAAATTATTTATATTTTTTAACTTATTAGTTGCATAAATATTCTAAATTATTATTAATTTTATTGTTAAAGGAAGTTTCAATATTTTCTGCATTCTTAACATTATTTTAAATTCATTTATCATTTTAATTTTCAATTTTATATTAATTCTTATAAAAAATGTGGTTTGCTTGATTTATGTGCACATTTGTAGGATTTGCTATTTGCTTTACAGATTTATTAACACTTGACAGATTGCAACAATGATGTCATTGTCTCGCTTAGCGAATATAGACCAGCGTATATTTTTTGTCACACTTGTGAGCCACCGAATCTACATGTATGTACACCAAGTATGCGCTTTGCTATACATTTTGAAACAAGGTGTAATTTTGCCGCATTCATGTCTGCAGACCGAAATTTGGTATGCATACTTCAATATACACAGTGCAATTTGGTAACACGGCATACGTGGTTTAAAGAAATTATAAAGTACAAGAATATTTTTATTTTTAAAACGTTGTCCAGCACTTAAAATACGATTATGGTATGTGTTATACTAATAGTTACCCTGTCAAATGACAGCAACACAACATATTGTGCGGCTTTAGGATTTGATTGCTTCTTTTAAGGTTTTTCAAAATATTATTCAAAATATACTTGTAATGTTTTCTGGTAAAGCATTTGATTTAGTAAAGGATTTGGAAAGATCCACACAAACGATTCCACCATTTGAAGTAACATTTGCACTTCTATATATCTGTTCAAAATATAAATTTTAAACAATCACTCTTTCTTTCAGGATGATGCAGTTCGTCAAATTCTAGAAGAGATAAAGGCTATCTTTGAAGAAAATTGCGCCCAAGCGTACGTGTTATAAAAATTAGATACATATTTAATGTGATTGCAATACTTGCGATCTTAATATCGGGCAATATTTTATTTTATTAAATGATTATAGATCGAATTTCTCAACATCAGGAGACAGAACGCTCTGGCCATTATTAAATTATCGTCACACTGTGCTACAAAGAAATAAGCGATGTTTGCTTACCTATCTATATCAACGCTTGCAACGTATCAAGGCTTTACGTTGGGAGTTTGGTCCGATAATTCCTTCAGATATTAAAAATTCATTATGTGAACCGGAAATAAATTTTTTTAATGCATACTCGAAGTCGTTAGCATCATATATGAGATCAGTTGGAGATGGGCAAGGTATAAATCTTACTGGTAATTTACTACCACCAAAATCCCTATATGTTGAAGTTCGTTGCAACAAAGATTATGGAAAATACGAATTAGATGACGGTGAAGTGATTTTACTTAAAAAAAATAGTCAACATTATTTACCACGTTCTCAAATAGAAACCTTAATAAGACAAGGTATTTTACAACATATAGAATAATCATTAATGTATTATATATTTGTAGTGTGTTATGTTTTACATTTATTAACTAATTAATTAATTAATAACTTTTATATGTAATTAGTAATTAGTGATATATAAAAATAAAGTAAACAATCTAAGAGTAAAATAGTTTCATGATTATTTTATAATTATTCGCTATTGGGATGGTAGTATAAGCGTATACGACAACATATCGGATTGCATTTAACTTGAAGCGCACTACACCAACTATACACAAGACGTTGATACTGTTGACCAAAACGAAGCACGATGTCAGTGCTGCTTTTCTAACTTGGAACAACAAGTGAGAAAAGGAGGAAAACATGTATTAGCTGTTAATGAAAGAGATAAGCCTTAAACACTATTGTAACTTTGAGCCTTAAAGAATTGATCCAAATCTTATCCTTAAATTGACTACTTTCCAAATCTAAAGATAAGTTTTAAAATGTTTTAGTAATTTTGATAATACAGTAAAATCTGTGGTTTTGATAATAGTATTTATTGTATTAAGCTCCTAAATTGATCGCAGCATATTCTTGCACACATTTTGTAAGTTTTAAGGAAAATATAATCTTACTATTAGCAGTGATTCTGCGAAATCAAAGAAATAGAAATATGATTACAGCAATATTGTATTGCAGACATATTTTTGGTAATTTTGTGTCTCAGTCTAAACAGTCTGCACAAAACAAACATCCGCACAAATGACATGCTAAGAGACCTTAGAATAGACCCGGTTAAAAAATATATAAGGGACAGACCCTTGAAGCTATTCGCGAAAACTGATAGACTGCCCTACTTAGTACTATTTAATGTCAGAGCAGTCAGTAGCCGCACGGGGTGGTACGCAGATCTTAGAACATTTATCGAATAATCACGAAGATTTTGAGGAATACATAAATTAGTCAGCGAGAAGGGTGGGACTCTGCAGAAACCCCCCAGCTATCAAAGAGTAAAAGTGCCCAGATGCACTAACTCGGAAAATGCTCAACATAACATCTTAAGTGTGTCTCGAGTTTCTTATAAGATAATTAATAATGTCATCAGGGCAATTAAATTAAATATTAAAATTATTAAATGTTTAATTTCTGTTTAAAAATGTAAATAAAAATGTGAAAATAATGAAAACCAATATATTGAAATAGTTTAATAGTTTAGTTTTTATTTTTATTGGTTTTTGCTTTATAAATTTGATACAGATATATAAGAAATGGTAAGGCAGCGTTTTACTGTATGCATATAGATTAAGTAATATTAGGCGTTAATAATGAATTTAACAATTTAAGCATTTTGATAATCACCATATGATTAAATTGTAATATCTGAATACTTAAGCATTTTTTTTCTTTTGTAATGGTATAGTAAAATTTTATTTCTTTCGATAAAAGGATTTATTCAAAATTTTTGGCTCATGTTTATATACTACACTAAGATACATGGAACTAGCTACAGACTTGAATTACTAAATTAAAATAGTAATATAAATTCTTTTATTTAAAAAATAGATAAAAATGGAGAAGTACGATGCTCCAATATTTTTCATAAAATCTTAATTATATAATTAGTTAATCCTAAAAATCACAATGTGGTATAAATTGATTAAAATTGCATTTTTAATGTCCTTCATTGTTTTGAACTTGTTATTATAAACTAAAAGATGTCTTCAAAAGTAAGAATAAACATACATACATATATTAAAATTAGAATTGTTTGCCAAATTAAAACAGGCAGTAAACCCTTGAAACTATAAATCATTATTTCTTTATATCTATGTAAATAAGCACACATATTTTGGTAATTTAATTAATTAATTTTTGCTTGAATTAAATAAATTAACAAATTACTTAACAAAATTTTGCTAAATTTTGCTAAATTTTGCTAAATTTGAAAATTTGAATTTTGGAATACATTTTCAATTTTGAACTGTTTGAATTATAGCTAGAGTTAAAATACTCGATTATAATAATAATTACATATATAATATGATATTAATGTGTATTTATCTATTATATGCATTCATTTACTGTTTTTTTGCATCTTAATATAGCAAAAAGAATTAAGAAAAAATTTGAACATAACTTATGTATCTAATGTATGTAAATTACGCTTCCGACATACTTGTTGAAAATACATTGGCAGTGGTAGCGTATTAATTACATATTTCTAATCTTACTATATCTACTATATGTATTTTTGTCTAAACATGTGTTGCTAAAGCGCCTTTTTTTGTACCATTTGATGGTAATATAAATTGACCAGAGTTGGTATGTGTAGTCGATGGTAAAGTTGTGTTAATTGAATTTTGTGGTAGTGGTGTAATAGCTGCAAGTGTGTTGCTGCTGGCGGTCAAATTAGAACTGCTCCCACTAATACTACAATTGCCATTCGTACTACTGTTAACCACAGCGTTCGCAGTTGTAGAGTGCTTAAAATTATTTACAATGCAAACTCCTTGATTTCGTGTAGCATGATAAGGAGGCGGAGCAGGCGTAGCTGCAGGGTTTGCTGTACTAGGAGGTGGTAGTGGTGGAAGAATTGAAGAGTTGGTACGTAAGTAAGGATTACCATATATAGCACTAAAGCGACTATCAATGCCATTTTGAAGAAGTGAATGACCTTAAATAATAAGAGTTTCAAATGAAATTGTTTACATATGTTATATCAAGGTATTTAAGGAGAATTCTTACCTAAAAATCCGTTTCCCATTTGGGCCGAGTTAGAATTTGATATCTGAGGTAAATCACAGCGATTTCTTGGTAAACTTAAGTTATTGCAAGCTGATATTTCTGAATTTGAATAATGTGGCAATGTTGCAGATTGCACTGCACCTTGAGAATTTTTCAACGATGTAGTTAATTTTCCATCAGTTGGCAGATTATAATCAAGTGCGTATTCAAAATAAGGATCGTAATCGCCATGACTTTCTTTGAAATCTTCATTTTTAATACTTTTTAAATGATATTTTGAATTATATCGATCGCTAATATTGAAAGCTCAATGTTAAAATGTTTTATACAACTAATATATTGAATATATTACCTCTCGTCCAATTTTACTGGACCGGCTAATGGTACTCCCAACGTTGAACTTTTTATTTGCACATCTGGAATTTGAGTTACGTTGATAGTTCTTCCTGCTGTGCCAGACTCCGAGTACTCAGAATCGTATGATTTTGAGCGTAGTTCAATTTTCAAGTCTGATAACTTGTCATTACGTACTGAAGCCTCAGGTAAGATATCAGATTGTTTAGTTTTTTTTCTATTTCGTTTCACTATGACAACTATGAGCATTACAATCATTAAAACAACAGCTACTGATGACATTGCACCCATTATAATTAGTAGGATGGGAAATGTACCTGCTGTATTGAAAATTTAATTAGAAACATTTTATTGCTACATATCAGATTTGCATACGTTCTGGTATTAATGTTATAAGTAAAGAGTCACTTCCGTATGAATTGATAACAGTACAGTTATATTTCCCATAATGATTATTTTGACTCTCCTTAATAATAAGCGCTGCTCTTACACCCTCAGGTAAATGATTCTCTTCAAAAATGTATACATCTGGATCTGCTGATGTCATGTTAATAATTTTGCCTTCGTATGACCATAAGATATGGTCTGCTTTTGGGATACAAAATGCTAAGCAGTCAATTTTCGCGCGGTTGCCCACAGCACCAAATTGAACTTTATGAGAAGTTATAATTGGTGCGCGTTTGATGTAAACTGTCGCTTCAGCACCAATTTCTGGAAAACCACTAACTGCTGCTTTACAAAAATAACGTCCTGCGGTATCAGATGAGACTCTTATTGATATATTTCCAGTAGTGCCCACAACCTAATCAATTTAAGAATACATTTACTATCTTATAATTTGTTATTACAGCTTTGGAATACCTTATCTGAATTTTCACTTATCCATTCAATTTCAGGTGATGGATTGCCATCTACATCGCATAATAAATTTATTGTTGCATCAAGTTCAGCCTCCACAGATATCGGACGGTGACGAAAGGATGGACCATCTAAAAATATGTTATGAGATTATTATGAAAGTTTAATTTTAAACTTTGCTTAATCAAATATTAATATTTGTTAAATGGTCTTACATATGTATATTACTACTTTAACTTTTATATTGTAATGTTTTGTTTTGATGAATATATTATATGAAACTTACAACTAATATCCAAAGTTTCACTCTCCTCACTTTTACCTACAAGATTGGTGACTTCACATTTAACAACAGCATTATGGTATTGACGGGTTACGTTGTGAATAATCTATTAAATACTTTTATTTAAATAACAACTTTTGTATTATTTTAGGTATAACTTGCCATTTTTGTAGTGAAGTCGCCTGTTACCAAATCATCATTTATAAACCAACGATAACTTAATTCTTTGGGATTAGCATCTGCTTTACATCCTAAAATAACTTCTGCTCCTTCTGGTATATGACCACCAGCTAGGGCTCCACCAACTACTGAAACTGCAACTTTTGGAGCATACTTAACCTAAAAGAGTTATATTTACATATGTATACATATATTCTATTTGATAGATAATTCAGTTTTAATTATGAAACTAACTTCGAGTAAAAGTTTAGCCGACCGGTAAGTTCGATCAGCAGTATTTTGAGCTTGACAGATGAATGTTGTGTTGTGGTGTTGCTTTTTAGGGGCTAATTTCAGAATCGATTTTGCGGTAAAGCGTCTAGCATCAATTAGGGATTCTTTAAAATATTCAATACCCGTTGATAGAACATTTCCAAAACCATCAATCCAGGTTATCTAAATCAAAAAACAAGAAATATTTGAATTGTTTCATCATTTAAAACACTTATCAGTTTAAGCGTAATAATTTATCAATATATTTTTTTATTAAAAATTTAACCAACAATTGAATAATTTAAGTACCAACAATTGATAAATTTACAGAATAGAAAAATATATTTAATTTTTATTTATTAAATAATCATTTAATATAATCAATTTTACCTATTAAAGTTAAATGAAAACTACTAATTAATAAAAATTAAAATTTCTACCTTATAGGTTATGGTCTATTAAAGTCTATTGCATTATTGCATTACTGAAGATAAAAAAGGCGTCTGGTTTAATTATAAAATATATCAGTTCTGTTTCAGATTACAATCAGACAAAAGTAACGTTTTGATGTAACTATTTCAATCTTCTCGGATAGCCAAGCTGGGCGAATGAGCCAAGACAGGGGCTCTTCTCCCTCACATTCACACTTGATATTGGCGTTCCACTTCCAACAGCTAAACTGGCAATCAAACAAAAATATCTAAACATAGCCAAGCAACAATGGGCTTATAAATCCAGTTGTCAGGTTTCTAAGTCGATTTAGTCTATTTTGAACAAAAAACGTACCATTCAACTACTTCAACTACAGCAGAATCTGCTCAGCACTACGGTATCGCTGCTGACGGGTAACTGCACAATAGGGAGGTATGCTATGAGACTAGGTCTTCCTTATTACGACATTTGTCGTAGCTGTGGCTCTGAGGAAGAGGAGGAAACTGTGTTTTATCTCATGTGCCAGTGCCCATCTTTAAGTGGGTGAAGATTAAAAATCTTGGCGGCCCCTTTCTTTACCGATCTGACTGAGCTGTTATCCTGCAATATTAGAGACTCAGCCAGATTCATAAAACTGTCAGCTTCGTTTACATTCATTACGATCGACGTTAATCGTATACTGACCAACTAGTCTATGTACTAACTATTGCTATTCCTGTGGTACCACAACGGGCCACTATTTGAGCTGAAGTGGGCTTTCTTGGTACACAAGACCGCCACTCCAACCTAACGTAACCTAAAGTAATGTTTTTTTTAGAATTCGTTTCAAACTCAAGTTAATATTTGTTACTTACTAGTATTATAAATAAGCTTTTTATGTTACCATTAAAATTATAGGAAAAGCACAGTTATCAAACTTATTCAAAAAAAAAAAAGAAAAACTGCTACTAGTATAAATTCAAATGAAAAATTATTAATTTTAGCAACTGAAGTGAAATGCACGCATTAAGTATTTTTGGTGAAGCACCAAGTTCTTATTATTTTGTTTAAACAAATTAACTGTTAACAATTTTATTTGATTTCTTACAAAATCTTAATTAATGACATTTTTTTGGCACTCAATAAAGTAATTATTTATTATTAATATTTACAGTTTATTATTTATTTTAAGGGAAGAACAGATTAACAATGAACGAGATAACTCTTTGTTATTGTTTCTCAATAGTAAAAAATTACAAGATACCGTACTTTAAATGTTTATTAAGTTAAGAAACTGAACACACCAATATAAATCTCTTTTACCATTTATCATACAAAAATGTAAGTATAAACCTAGTGAATTTGTTGATAACGGGGACCTCAAATCCATTAAACATTTTTTAGTGTATTAAGTAAACTATTAAACTTTTTTCCTAAAATAATACGATTTATTCTTATGATGCCATGTTATTAAAACTATTATTTGCAAGAATTAAGACAATAAATAAAAATAAAGTATAAGAATCATACGGAAAATCATAAGGAAATATAATGGTACAAACCTCGGCCGCTGGTTTTCCTCCTACGGAAATGCATTCTAATTCTATTTCTCGGTCTTCAGTCGTTACTAAATAATCGCCCTGCAATATTTTCGGTGCCTCTGGCGGTACTAATACTGTTAATTTTGCAAATCTGGACCTTATTCCTAATTCACCTAAATATATAAAAATTAACATAAATTACGAAAATTACGATAATGACTGTTAATAGACTTACCTAAAGGGCCAGGTCCAACTTGACACTGATATTTAGCGTCGTCATCTAACATAACTGGATATATGTCCAATGAAAAGTCCCCTTCCTCATCACTACCTATCATTGAGTAACGTTCAAAACCACTTAAGTTGCGCGACGTACCTAGCCCAAAATCATCTTTCGTCCATTGCAATGCACCCAATTTATCTATCACTCGACATGGTAATGTAACTCTTGAACCTACAACAGCAGTTTGATCTTGTGGTTCCATAGCAAATCGTTGGCCATCAGTTATAGGTTTTTCATCAGATTGATAAATTTTTGACGACTTTTTTAAATTTGTCTTTGCAATAGTCGCTTCTAAGTTATAACTAATAATTAATAATAGTATTGAAAATATTGTTGACATATTGTACATCGTTTTGCTTTATGTTGCGTTTGTTTTGCTATGTTCTTTTAAATATATATCCCAGATTTATAGGTGCAATGATGACATGTTTTTTTAATAAGTTATGAATAAAATTTTTTCAAATAATTATCTGAAAATAAATTTATAAACGTGTTTAATTTTATTTATCGAAAGGCTTTTTAAGCGATAAATTCACTTGTTTATATTACAGTTTTGTCTTTTACAAAGTACTTTCAGAACATAAAAATATTACATATAATAGAATGTAAATACACAAAATAATTTTTTAAAATTTTTTCAAATTAATGTTCATCGTATTAATGCATCGTATTAAAGTTATATTAAACAATGTTAAATTTACAATATTAATTTATAAGTTATAATTGTACAAATAATGTGTAAATTTTATTTAGGGGCGTTAATAGCCGGAAATGACTATTATTTAAATGAGGGTGGATGCATCTAAAAGTTTTTGTAATAGTATAAAAAATATCATATTTTTTAATTACATATTAAATAAATCTATTATATTTTAAAATTATTTAAAACGTTGTTTAAGAAATATTTTAATACATTATTTTTTTATAGAAGTTTGCAAAATATAATTGCATTTATAATTTTCCAGTTGAAAATATATTGAAAAACAGAATTCATTATTAATTATTTTCGAAATCATTTTATTTAATCATGTAATTAACTATTTCCTGAAATTTATGTATGTATTTTTCATATAAATTCCATATTACCGAGCAGAAAGAGATTTGCTTTAATTCAGGAAACAACAAATCACCTAAGATCGTTGCTAGAGCACAAACTTGTTTTGGTTATTTACGATCTTATTTCCTATATTTACTCCCATTAAGAACTAGGAATTCGGATAGTGAGTGAGTGGTTCATAATTATTTAGTCGCTTTTAATTCAGTTTTTTTAGTGCAGTTTTAAACACAAATTACGTTTATTAAAATATTGCATATTTTAATATAATGTTTAGTTGAACATTTTTATTTTTCTAAAAAAGTTTAATCTCTTATCTACGAAATTAGATTATTTAAAGTTTTTTATACATATATGCATGTACATATTTAAAAACAGTGACATTTGCACTAGTCAAGTAAGTTCGCTTTAACAGTAAATCTTTAAGATTTCACCGCTTTCCTGTTTGTATTATAGTATAGGACACCAAAATTCACCACATTCTCTCTTTCACGGGAGCATTACGTGTTTTATTATTTGTTTTTTTTTTCTTTCTTTCTTTTATTTTTTTATTGAGAATGCGAACGGACTTCGATTGATATGCAATTTATTATATATGTATGTTTGAGGATACAGGAATATTTCGTTTTTGTTGTTTAAAATTTAAAATTGTATACACATTAACATATTTTATATATCGACCATGTAGGTACTTAAGTTATAAATAAGCAATTGACATTTTAAATTTATCACTTGATAAAAATCATTTTTTAAAATGTTTTGTTGATATGTGTTGAATATTCTTTATGTTGTTTTTAAAGCTACATATATTATTTGAAAGTTTTATAGTTAGTGCATTTTGTAATAATTTAACACTAATTTTCCTGCATTTTATAAATGTGTGCACTAAAACATTTATGAGCTCTTCAAATAGGTGAGCTGCTGTACACACAAAACTCACTACACAATCAAAAATACTTTTGTGCGCCTTCAAACACAAACTATTTGCCGAGACGGAGGAACACGTACTAAAATTCTTTTTATGAGCTCGCTGGAAAATGAGCTAAGGTATTTTTAGAAGTAGCATCAGTATTCATGCGCATTATTGTTGTCAACTCTCGGTGTTGATTTGTTCTAAATATTTTGAGGTTGCTGAATATCGTATTCACCACAGAATTCCAATATAATTCACATCAGAGATTATGTCTCTTCACTTGATTGAGTTTTTTGAATTAAACTAGGATGTCAGTAACTGTTATAATTTATTTTATACCAGTTTCTCTCATTTCTGGCTACTAGCATATTAGCTAGCATTAGCTGGTATATACCTATATTTATTAGTTGTACTTAGGAACTAATATCCTTACTACATAGTTTAATCTAACATCAAAAAACAACGAAATACTGAGTTATTATTATATACACATGTATATTGTGGGACGTTAGGACAGTGCATCGTCCAGCGAGTAGCCCACTGAAGTGAAGGATTAGCCAAAATAGATCAGGAAGCGACTTGGGTCCTTTTTCATCCTTCGAAACACTGAGTTAGATTTAATGTTGATGACAGCGTCCGGATGATATAAATAGGCGATCCTGCGTAAGGAAAATGCTTTCCACTGAATTCATCACCAAAATAAATCCTTGGGATATGCTGTTACTAAAGATTAGTTGTTTCCTATACAACTACAGTAGATTAAAAGATTAGATTAGCATCATAGGAGAAGTCATTATGTGAGGCAAGGGCAAGTAATTATTTCTGTAATTGAAAATTGTAAATTATTTTTGAAAATTAATTTAATTATTACACACAATAATACGAATTAATATTCTTACAATAGAGATTTATAATAAGTTTTAAATCTGAAATATTACTAACTACTAACTTACAAATTGTTTGTTGTAATGTACATATAACATTTTTGTGATCAAATAAAAAATTAATTATTCTAATAAGGGTTGACAATAAAAATGTAAAATCCATTAAGTTTTGCTTTAGATTTAGCTTCCTTAAAGAAGGCAGCGAAAGCTGACATAGAAAATTTTAACTCGTAGAATTTTGTTCAACATATAATTGTTTTTGGTTGGTGGCGCGATATATATAAATATATATAAGTAAATAAAGTATCTTTGGGAATATTGTCGTTATATATCATGGGCATCAGCGATGGATTTTAATATTTCAAACTAAGTTTTTTATAATATTTTTATATAGGTAAGAGACGATGGCAATTCCATACAGCAGTAGCCCGTAAGTCCAAATTGATATAACTGTACTATGGTATAAGAGGACCTCGTATTCTAGACGTAAGTAGATTAGAAGCTTGACGTTGCATTGAGATTTTTTTTAGTTGTAATACGTTTGCGTTAAATTAAGTGGTTACATTGTCAGCTGGCGGTGTCAGAATGTTATTTAAAAATATTTCAGATGAATTACTTTTATTAAGAGTGAATGTAACGTGTCAACTTTTTAGTTCGTAATTTTAAAGCGTCAGTTTCATAACCATTTGTATACTAAAAATTGATGCGATTGTAGTTGGTTAGAGACTATGGTAGCATCTTTGTGTCAGCTTAATATAGCGAACGTGTTGAGAACAAGTTGACTATTTTTAGGAATATTAGATGTGTACAGCAAATATAGTAGGTGTATGAGAACACAACCTTATGGAACTCTAGCATTTATGGGAAAATATAAAATTTTACAGGTAAAAATTCTAAAGTTAGTGAATGTTACTTTGAAATATATTGTATTTTTAAGTATTAAATACATAACGTATTTTTTGCAACGCATTTGTGCCATATTTATTTAAAGCTTGCTTTGGTGACCCAGTTGGGGTGATCAAAATCTTCGGCAGCTTCCTATGACACAACAGATATTCTGATAAACATGCCAGAACTATAATTAACACGATGCAGGAGCATGTTAATCTCATCTTGAAATTCCTTCAGAAAAACTTGTAAACATAGGCAACATCCACAGAGAGTTGGTGACATTGCGATCAATTAGGAGGACCTGCGAATCACGTTTGATAAGCGGTTCTCTTGGCATAGGCATATACAAGACAAAAGCAGTAGTTATGCGAAAACACTTCATTGCTTACGGCCGCTTTTTTAATACAAAAACCTTTCCGCTAAGAACAGAAAGTTTATCTACAGCCTGATAATCAGACCGGTATTTCTCTAAGAGTGTGACGCGCATAGCAAAGTTGTCAACTCTACTGTCCAGAAACTAGAAAGTGCTCAAAATCAGGCTCTCTGGAGCCTCTCCAAAGTGCCATGGTGCATCCGCACGAATAACATGCTAAGATACCTCAGAATAGACCCGGTCAAGAAATACATAAGGGACAGAGCTCTGAAGCGATACTCGAAAACTGACAGGCTGCCCTAATGTCAGCGTCAGTAATGTCAGTGCCAGTAATGTCAGCGTTACGTTTATTGAAGGCTTTCGTCACTTGAATAAACACACCTTCTTCGTAGACGGTTCAGACATTACAGGTGTATATCATTTAGGTGGGTCGTCAACATTCGGTTTCCATGTCCGAAGCTCATTACGCATTTTACTGGCTGCTGATATTCCGTGATGGGTGCCAAACCATGTGTACAACCCAAACTCAAATAGCGGAAAATAAGACTTGTAATCACTATCAATTTTTTTACATAGCGGGTGTCAGATAACTATCAATAGGTGCCACGTGGAGGACAGTAAGAATTGCGCTTGCATGGAAAACAAAAAACGAATATGGAATATATATTAATTTATATATGATTTTTTTATTATGATTTATTGTATATTTTATTTTTATTTAGTTAGAAAGCCGAAAAGAAGATAAAATAACTATGTATATGAAATTTCTTTGTATTTGGTTGAACTAAAGTTTTCGGAGATTTAAAATCAAATGCTATAAATTTGTTTTAATTTTCAATAAGTGTTTTGTGATCAAAATAGGAAACCAAACGCAGAACAATAATATTTTTTAAGACGCATTCAGAACTCTGTTTATAATATATAAACCCTAACAAGGTATATAATAACTTCAATAACTTATTTTAGAAGAATAACTGTTAAAGAAATATTGTATAAGCCTCTGTCTTTTAAGCAGTATCTACAATTTTTCTAAAGATTTAAAATGCCATCTAGATCTTCGTTTGAAATTATTAAAACAACGAGAATAAATACCAAGAATTGTTTCGTATCTTCACTTTATTCTATAAATAGATTTGTTTCTAGATTGACGCGGCATATGTTCGGTTACAAAGTACGTTGCCTTTTTTTGTTGACGAAGGGCTGAGCCCTTCTGTGTTCAAATCGCTTCCAAATTTAACGTACACATCATTGTCTGACTTTAAGAGAATTGAAATATGGTGTTTTGTGAATGAAAACTCAGAGATCAGTCGAATATAAATCGACTGGTAAAAAAAACCTTAAATTTAAACAATCTAAAAACACAAGTCACTTAAAAATAGATTACCTCCATTTGTTTCTAAGAAGTAGAAGACTACTATGTTCGGGATATGCACATTTAAAATATTCTCTCTTATTGTGAGATGATAGTTCTGCTAACACTTTAATTTAAAATCGTTCCCACTTATGCATTTTGAGTTCAACTTAAATAATATTAAATACTTATCAGTATGTATATATATATATATTATATATATATATTTAAACTGTTTTAATTTTATACATGTGAATTATTATTATTACATAGGCATAATACTCTCTATGTATATTTTTCAACTTTACATGTTTACAAATACGTAAATATATAGTAACAAATACGTATATATATATAATATATATAAATAAATAAAATTTTTTGTCCATAATAAGTAAAACATCAATCGAATAATAAAATTATTCAGCCATTCAATATGTAAAACAAAAAACTTTAATATTTATATGAAGTATGACCCAAAAATAGAACCTTCCAGGCAATTAGCTTTCACCACAGAAGTACCTAACTTTCATTTCTTTCAAGTACAAACTGTTTTACTTAAATTTTATGTAAAATTTTATGCAAATCATCCAATACTTAAAGAATTCAAAAATGAAATAAATTGAATTTTAGCATATCATTTTTATGAAAATCTGGAGACACTTTCAAAGAATCGTATAAAAAGTCCAGTAAATAATTCATTCTAGTCAAAGTTATTCTGATTGCTGCACCGTTCATTCTACACCTTTAGAAAATTGACGTTCATAGTTTTAAATATTAATAACGCAATATGTTTTTAAAAGTTATATGCATTTGCTTATTGATACCATCTTTTGTGTTAAGTAAATTAAAACAAAATTCTGTTTTTGCGATATGATTAGTGTTTTTTTCAAATTCAGGTGCTTCCGTGAAATCTAGCAGTTATATTCAAGATGATGCCACCATACCCGATGATGCACGAATTGCAGCACTTTATGTCAAAGATTCTGAAAACGGAGAATTGCGTTTCTTAACAAGTGGTACTGGGCTTAATTCTGCATTAAATCAATACATCACGCAAAAACAAAATATGCTTGAACAATTGAGACCCACAACAGCTACCAACAATTTTGGAACTATTACGGGAAGTGGATTAGGAAGTACAGGTAGTTTTGTGACAAGTGGTACAGGTTCTTCTGGAAGCGTTACACCAATCATAGTTAATTTGGGTGCCACTTCTGCAACTTCATCCAATACTGTTGCATCAGCAGCCTCAGCATCATCACCAATTGCTGATCTTTTGCCCCAAATAATTGCCCAAGGTGCTTTGGGTAATCGACGAGTAGTAGGTAATAATGTACGACGTAAGGTTAATCGTCGTCGTAGACCAGTTGGTAATAGGAATAATAAACCAAAAATTGTGTTAGTAAGACCAAATCGTCAAGGTTAAAGGAAAAAAACATTTGTTCTTAAATTTTGTAAAATAAACAATAATAAATAAACCTTGATCTGTTAAGAACATATGTTGTTTTGTATTGCTTGTAAATATATTTTATACAGAATATTTTGTTTCTTTTAACTACAAAAAAATTGTTCTCATTTAAACTTGATTATTGAACAAAAATTAAGAAAATTTTTCAAAATATGTTTTTCTGCTTTTTAAAAATGTTAGTTCATAAATAAATTAGATTATTATTATTACTATGACATGTTCTATAAATTACAATTACAATTTAAGAACTTAGTCTATTCACATAAGCTTTCCAAATATTTCTATTACGCACTAATGCTCTCAGCTCGTTGAGTGATTTGTTTGTTTCCCTGCTTATCAATCTTCTCCATGTACTTTTTGGCTGTCCACGATTCCTTCTACCTTGTGAACTCAATTTCAAATCTGAGTGAGCACTTTCACTAACCGGTTTACGCAGGGTACATTTCAGCCAGTCATATTTCCGTTTCATTACCTGCTTTTCAATCGGTTGCTGATTTGTAATTTCCCATAGCCGCTTATTGCATATGGTTCTCGGCCACCAAATGTTTAGGATCTGACGAAGGCATCTGTTAACGTATATCTGTACTTTTTGTGAAATCGTGGCCGTAACAAACCAAGATTCAGATCCATATAACACTTTTATAACACTTTTTGACGCAGGCATCGAATATCGTAATTTTAGTTTTGAAATGCAAGATTTTTGAACGCCAAATGTTTTTGAGATTGGAGAAGGCACATCTATCTTTTCGAAGTTTGCTGACTACGTCGTCTGAGGTACCACCTTCAGTTGTTATAATGCTGCCGAGGTATTCAAATATTTCCGACTTTTTCCACGATCGTATTACTTATTGTGATTTGGGAGGTGTTAGGCGTGTTAATGCGCATGAATTTTGTCTTATCAATATTGGTGTAAAGATCCACTGTTGCACACTTAGTAGAGAGATAAAAGAAATTTCAAAATTCTCATTAAGATACCCTGCAGAGATATAGATCTGCAGGGTAGGTTTACTTACAGGTCACTGCTAACTAGAAAGCCATACTAGAAGATTAGGACTCTCCTTCAATCAAACTATCGCACCTGTGGGGAAGACGATGAGAGTGCCTCTATGTGCCTCTATCTACTGTTTTTCTTGAGAATCTTGATCAATTACAGGACCTGACACTAAATAGCATTTAGGCTTCGCCAAATATTCTAGGTGGTTTTAAACCCAGAGTTTTTCTTATATACACGATAACACAATAGGTCTAAGTGGATCCACCAAATATCGTCGGTATAACCTAACCTAGTAGACAGATCTGTAATTTGGGCTTGCATATTAGCGAGCGTGTTAGAGATTAAGACTACATTATCGGCATATTCCAAATCGGATAATCTATTTCTTATTCCCCAGTTAATTTCAAGTCGTTCTGTGTCCAGGGTCTTCAGCACTGTGCCCAATGCCGTTATAAAAAGAAGTAACTAAAGCGCACAACCCTGTCTTACACTACTGGATGTTGGAATTGAGTCACTCAGCGCACCATTCTGTAATACTCTGCATGTAGGTCCTTCATAGCTGCTTTTAATAAATTAGATGTCTTAGGAAATTGAATTTATTGAATTGTTATTCAAACTAAGATGTCAGATGTTTTTAATCAACTGCAAAATATTTCTTTTATATTGCAACAAGTTTTAGGAGAGACATTCCTCTTGAACAGGTGTTGTTACCTTAATTCCTATTTTCTCAAAATAAGATTGTTCAAATAAAAAATATAAAGATTAAATAGGATGGAGTGTATTGAAACTTAAGTCGTTCTTACAATCAACGAACGACGCAAGAATTACATTTTTTGCAGAATGTTGCACTAGTTTTGCAAGATACGTGTTTGTTTGCAACAAACAACAAATCAATGACAGCTTCTAGTTTTTCAAGTTTAATAATTATTAAGCAAAATAAATACACACGTGCAATTACATAAAGTTGTGGTTTATATTTTTATATTAAGAGTACATATTTATAAATTTCAATTGATATTTTGTATTAATTATGCAGTTTTTAAGAACATTGTGGTTTATTATTTAGCGAACCGTGGATTTCATTTAGAAGTTTGATAGAGTTTTTTTCATCATTTTATCTTTAAAAATTGTTCTTATCTATAAAAGAATTGAAAGCCATATCAAAATTTAATTAAAAATTATTAAAAACATTATTTAAGAGTTTAAAATTGAGATATTACGTACATATGTAATATTTATGTATTATATTATGTATGTAATATTTGTGACTATGTAGTCTTTTTGATATTCGATATTAAAAAGAAAAAACAACTGTTCTTCTTGCATGTGTAGTGTAGTATATATTATATTATTTAGATATTAAAATATTCCAAATAATTAGTAGATTTGTGATACTTGATCTAATAAAATTTAAAATGTTACAAAAATCGAATTAAAGTAATAGTAAACAGCAGATGTGTTCAATTATCTGCTGTAGTAAATCATATCAAAGTATATACCATACTAACAAAATATTCTGCATTTTAGCAGAGGCACATACAGAAGAAGCTGTTAAACCTGTACAAATTACACACCTCAAGTAAGTAAACTCAAGTAAGCTAACATAACCAAAGGAGGTAAATCTGATTGCGTTTGTATGGCTTGAGGTAAATATTCGTGCATATGCGATATCAACAACTGGAGTGTGGTACTGGTATGCTGGGTTAAGTAACACAGGTACCAGTTCTGTAGTAACGAGGGTTGGACTAAACCTGTTTATGCTGTGAAATAAAAACCGATCGTGAAACTAGAATGATAAGTGATTTCTTTATATAAATATGCTATTGCAAGAAATGTTCTTCAATGATAGTAATTGAGAATAATAGGTTCGAAAGCAGCTGCTTGGAAATTTATTAAATCTAAGTTTGTGGAGCTTGTGGTGCACTTGTATTCGGATTCTATGAAATAAAAAGATTGAATAGTTGTATTTAAACTTTAGATTTAAATTAAGTTACGTAAGTTTATACAAAAACAAAATATTCTCATTAATAAATTAAATAAACTAAAATTTCATTAATACAGCAAATGTTATTAAAAGTTTCTTTTTTTTGATGTTTAATATTAAATTAAATTTTTTTTAATGTTAACTATGACGAAGGCAACAATTTCTAAAAACAAAACATTTTCAAACAATATAAATTTTAGCAAAAAAATTTTATTTAATACTGTTTTGAATATAATAAACAATTTCCCAACAGTATGTCTTCTTATAACACTTTTATATGATAAGTAACTTTTCAAAAATTACTGAACTCTCCGTCAAGTAATTTATCAAAAGTATGAACAGTTTAAAATGCATCAGTTGAAAGTTAGATTTATATTACCTATGTATTTACCACTCACAAGACAATTATCCGAGAAAAAAATTTATTTGTTTTTTAATAAATATCTATGTTTTTTTTAATAACATAGATTTTCAGAATGCATTATTAATTAAAAATTTGTGTAATATTACTTTACTTAAATTACTGAGCATTTTAAGAGCACTTAACTTAGTAAATTCATTATACATACCAAGCATTAACCTCTGCTTTGTACGAGAGAGCCAAGCATACTCAATGAAACTAGGGAATGGCAAATCTTTGCTTAGTATACTTGTTTGCCCTATTTCAGTTCTGGACCAATTATTTAAAGCGTTAAGTCTGTCTGTTATTAAGTTAGCTTACTAGTTTTGATAGAAGTCTAAACGGCAACGCTTGAAAAACGTGACTTAGCTTTCGTGGGGGTAACGCATAGAGTTCTAATAATAACAGATAATAATAATGATATTAACAGATGCAACCCACCAAGAGACCACCTCATATAGAAGGATAGGTTAAATTACAGTTGTATAAATCCGGAACACGATTTGACATTGAAGACCCCATATAAAGCCCACTGCTCTTCTACAACAGTAAATAGCATATGTTGGTTAGAGTCAAGGATGGGCTTAAGCTAATCGGGGTGTCAATTATCTCAGGTAAGTAGAATCAAGGAGACATTCAAGAATATCTGGACAATTTTTCTTGATACTGCAATAACAACGTCTTTCACATAAACTATAATTCTGCAATTGAATTTCTGTAGACTTTCTGTTTTTTTATAAATTTTAAATTTAAAATAGGTTTTAGTGATAAAGAGCATAAAAAATTAAAATCTCGCGGGCCTCCGCAGATGACCTTTATGCGATTAATCGCATTGTTAAAAATTAATACGTCCTTATTTACTATTTTGAGACACCCCAAAGGTCTTTAAGTGAGGTTAAGACTATATGCATTGTTATGACCAGCTCTACTCAAGTATTATTTTAGTTATTTGTGCAGCTATCTCCAGCTTAGCGGTCCATCATTGTTTATGGTCTAAAGTAAGTCTAAATTGCATAACCGACTATTGTTTTGTCATAATGAAGGTGAGCAGTACAAAACAGAACATCTTTTTCTTAATTCCTTTATCTTCTTGTGGAGCATAGGGCCTTATAAAAAGACAAATGGTGTACAAATATGCGAAATAAACATGTAATGGAGAATCATTTTTGCAATCAAACTCATCAAGAGCAATTGAAGTCTACGTAACAAAACTATTTAAAACTTTAAGATAATGTTATACAGCAAACTAATATTATCCAAATGATTTAAGATAAAGCTATTATTTTCTATTATATTCTATAAGCTTAAAGCTTATGCCCTATGTCAAATAAATTCTACATGGAATTGTAAATGTGCATGACAATAGAATATGGAAGCTGCAAACAATTTGAATACTACTGTTAATAAAATTAACTATAAGCTTTTATTCACAAATATTAAAACAATATCAAATCGTCACATGTTCTATTTACATTTGTCTGGATCTAATTTTAACAATATATCTAATTAAAATCAAACAAAATTTTCTATTTTGTTAACTCATCACTAAAACTTCAAAGATTTTGATTAAAATATAACAA